CATCATCTCGTTCCATCGATACAGCGCGCTTTCTTTCGGGGGCTCTCCAATCCAGTTCATGGGAAATATGGCGTCCTGGAACTCGATGAAACCTCCAGGTGCCGTGCTGTTGTACGCTTGCTTCACGACGGCGCCCGGGTCATTGAAGCAGCTCATCAGAGCTCGGCCATGTATGAAGTCGAAAGGCTCGCTCCAGGACCATTCGTCTTCGGCGTCGTCGATCTCGAAACTGCAATTCTCTGGCAGACTACAAAGCCGTCAACCCCCCACGCTTGCAGAGCTCATGAATCAAGCTGCTCGGACGTATCGGAACTCACTATGCCGGTTGAATGGGACTCAGGTCTGTACCTATCACGGTAGATTCAGGGTGGTTGGCCGCTTTGTATTATATTAATAATAAGCCTGGTGATCAGTGATACATTTACTAACCGAACTCTACCGCCCATATGCCGGTACCTAAGGCGCATCAGCAAGTTGATATGACTTTGTGTAGCGGAGCTCGAACCTGTCGCGAGGTCTAATACCCGGCCAGGGTTTTCGGGTATTGGCGCCAGATGATGCCGACCATTTATCGTAATTACGAACAGTTCATGCTGGAGATCTACGATCAAATCAGTGCTCGACTCCCCGTGGCATGACATGCGTCTTCTTCTTACCTAATCGTTCTTGTTCTGCCTGTCCCAACAAGAGATCAGCAATGCCGTGCTGGTACACTTTGCGAAAGAGTATCCTACCAAATCGTTTGGCAAAAAGTACCCTAAAATACAATATTAGCTACCCCTGAGAATGAATACTCAAGAATTTCCGGTGTGCGACCGTACGTCCTTCTTTATATCTGTGATATGTCCGCCCGTTCTCTTCAATGTAGTGGTATACCGCCGAATCGACTGACATCGTCGAAGATCTGGCTTTTGATCAATGATCCAAATAGAATATTCGATTGCTGTCGCTTCCTACCTGATGCTGGATGCCAGCGTAGCCGTCTCTGTTTTGTCATCGTCAACGGAGGGTAGTGAAGGCGCGCTTCCGCTACCCCAAGAAAGCGCCGTACGACTCGAAACCTGGGATAGATGCTGCCACTCTGCGTCCTGGGGGCTAGCACGGGGCAGAGCGTCGGGCATTTCATCCGTCTCGTTGGCGGCCATGATCTCCGCCGGCCCTTCTCGTGCGCGTATCGTCGTTCTCAATCACCGAGATTGTCGTCGCGGGGTAATGAAAGAAAAATGTGGTTTCTTTTTTTTTTCCCCGCCGGCACGGTCGCAGATGTCTCGCGAAAAACGACATCATGTCATCGGCATCCGGCTCTGACAAATTCCCTCCACGGACCATAGGATCCAGGTATGCATGGCAGCAGCAAGAAACTTTGAACCCTGGGCCATTCCTCCTCTCCCACCCCTGTTGCAGCTTCCCGTTGCGACTCCGCCCGCTGCGACTCCGCCCGCTGACATGCCTCAGGTTGCCCCCGAAGCCATCGATGGCCCAGAAGCGAAGTCTCGGCTCTTTGATAGGGCAGTTCTCCCAGACGAGACGCACGTTCACGTACTCGCCTGTGACTCGTCAAAGCTCGAACCGGGCGCCCAAGACCAGCCGTGATAGGCTGAGGGGCTTTCATCGTACTTCCTCAGCAGTTGAAAGATGCCCGCGCAGGGTTGCGCACCGCCTAGGTATGGCCAGGCACCATTGACCTTTTTCCCTTGGCCGTTCGCATTCTACTTCCTCTCGACCTGCTCCTTCGGAACGCCCGTTCCTGCCTTGCAGCGGCTGGATACCGGTTCATCACTCGGTTCGGAACCCGACTCCAGTCACGTCTTGTGCCCCCAAAAGATCCTTGCGTCGCTCGGCCGTTCCCGAAGTGATGCTTGAGGTACCACTTTGGGAAGGCATACCGTCCAGCGATCAGCAGACACCGAGCGGCCAAAATGGCCGGCGCTTGAACGCGGGAAACCCTTCAAGGTGTATCGTGAGTACTACTTACTAGATCGCGAGTCTGTGATTCGCTCACACCGTCAATTCCGCGAGACTTATGGCAACAAAGCTAGCGTGCAGAAAACCGCTGCAAGACTTCGAGCCGCTCAACGGGAGAAGAAAGGTATACCCAAAATGCTTAAGTGAGCATCTCATCCCAGCAGTCTGAGTTGGGCAGCGCTACTAGTTGACGTATCTACATCGTGAAAAGGGCTACGGGCGTGCGATCGAACGATTAGCAGAGTCGGTGCTGGGGCCACAGAGATGAGCACATTGTGGTGCATATGACGGAAGTAATTTCGTTGAGAAACCAATATCATAAGTGTCAGCTATTGAGAAAGTTCCTCCAAGTAGAACCCGTCCCTTGCTTTCCATCATGCATCGTATCCTACCCAGCGCCCGCTATGCTAAGTACTTGAATAAATCGTTTCATCATAATGTCATTTATTGTATCATCGAACAAGATCTTCCCTAGCCTTTCGATTCGTCCCAATCCGACCATCTCTTGACAATTTCATCAACCATGCCGATGCCTTGCCTGGTTGCGTCGACTTCAAACCATTCCCTGTGAGCCTTGCCGCAGGCATCGCAGTTCCCCTTGTCACTAACCCGGAGTCCAGCGCCAGCAAGCTCCAAATGGATCAGGCGTTCCACTTTGTGGCTGTGTGGCATCTTGCGAGGTGTTGATGGTTGGTTAGCTGATACGTATGGATAGTAGCGAATAAGCGAGATATTGTAGCCGCACTGGCGTGTCCATTCGTTCAGCCGTCTCTGGACATTGGAAGCTCTCCCGATCTTGAGTAGTATCGTTTTGCTAGTCGAGCCCGACTTGCTCGACTGATTAGCGAAGGACTGGAGGACATCGCTAGTCCGCCGGCCCCGCGCGACCGGGCCGGTTGGGGGAGCTAATAGATTCTGTGCGGCTTCCGCTGCCGGTGCGGAGGGCTTCGATTCTGGTGTGAGCCAGAAGATATAAATATACCCAGGCTCGTCCTGCTGGGAGATAGGTTTGGCGAGTTCTGCCATAAGCTGCGATGCCGTTTGCGGCGATGCCATCGGCGGAATCAGAGAAAGGTACTGCGAAGTTTGCGACATTGCAGACTGCGCGGATGATTTCCTAGATCCCGCCATGGAAGGCCGCTGACTGACATAGGACGAGGGTGCAAGATACTGGTTCGAAGGCAATTTTGCAGAGGCAGGCTTCGCGGGTGCAGATTGTACTGGCCGCGGCTTTGGCCTGACTGGTCGTTCTTCCTCTACAACTGGTATTGTAAAGCAGCAACAGAAGCTGACTTTCTTGGGTGGTTTCGGTTTCGGCCTCAGGGGTTGTGAAACGTTTGTGCTGCCGACTGGTGCAATATTCCCATTGTGCCCAATATGCCCTGGTTGCGCGGAAGTCCGCGGGGGTCTTTTCCCCTGCCGTTCTGCCTCAACTATACCGAGCCGCCCGATCAGGCTGTCGAAGCTCTCGCGCGTTTCCAAAATTGGGGTAGTCCTCGAGTTCGGGCCAGGGCTGGACCTCGCTGAGGAGCTTGCTTGGTCTTTATGTTGCCAACAGTATAGATCGGGGTCACGCGGATCATCGACTCGAAGTTGGGCGGCTCGTCGGTTGCGGGGAGGAGCGAGAGGCGAGGCTGCGGGAGAAGATCCGGGTGAAGCAGCAAGCGGCCTGCGGCAGGGGCGGCCGCCTGAAGTGATGCCCCGACATGTGGTAGCCGGGTTCTTTGAGTCTGAGCGGCCGATAAGAGACTCGGGGGTGTTCGGAATGAATGGCATTCTCCTCCAAGACAGCGTCAAGCGAGTGTTGTGCTCTGTGGGCGGTGAAAGAGCGTGGGTATGGAAAGTAGAGTGGTGGAGATGCCAGCCATGGCGGGTTGTGGCACTTATAAATAAGCTTTGCACATGGCGCGCTGGTGTCCACGACCCTCACGCGTGAAGCAGACGGAATCCATCGAAATGCAAGTGACTCGACGTCACCCCGAGTCCGTTAATTGGGAGGTTGGTTGGTTCATAGGCAGCCAACATCAAACGTGGAGAGGAATGAGGGCTCCTGGCCCGCCGCACTGCCGTGGCTGCCGGGATAGTGGCGCTCGATTGAGGCTCAGCAGTGGCTTCACACCACACTGCCATCTTCACCCCTATCCCTCACTGAAGCAAAGCTTTCGATGTGACATTTACCTCGTAAGTACATAATAATTACCTTTGATTTAGTTGCAACCTGTCGAAAACCGCGTGACAGTTTTCAGACACTGACTGACGAAGGTTCATACGTGAGTGGCAGTCGCCATCACCTTCCTCAGATGCGTCTCAGTCCACCAAGCACCGCACTACCTAAGTAGTTTGCTACTTGTTGCCTACCGATGTACCTACCTGGATGTGGACAGTCGACCTAGGGGTGATATCTCAATCAGGATCCTGTTGCGACAGCGATACTAGCTCATCGCAAACATCTCCCTATTCCTGAACCCATTTTATGTCGAGATGAGATGGGGGATGACCATTGTTGAAGTGCAAAAGGCCTCTATCTGAGGCTGGAATGCATATGATATTTGTGTACACACATTATGAAATACCTGGTGTTACGAATGCAATAAGGTTCCAGATGGTTCAAGAAAATCGGAACATAGTCACGGGCAAATATCGTACACAATGCCTCACATAGCTTCTTCCAGCTTCAATGGCACTCAATTACGAGACGCAAGATTCTTGCAGGAGGTATTCCCAGCGATGTACCCAGCACTGCGACTCTGACGAATTTCTTCAGATATCGCATAAGCAGAGAGAGAATACCTTTAGGTGATGAGCCGAATCATGCACAAGTTAGAAGCTTTGAGGTTGGTAAGTGGCATGACTTTGTCCCAGCTATCTACCTTGAATTATCCAGTTTCCATATTTGCATTAGTGCTTTATATTCTCACGGTCTAAGTAGACCTGCTTAAACCCCTGTTTAGAGATCTGACACTCGTTGCTTGCTATTGGAAGTTCGTCAATATTTGGCCAACAAATCAAAACAAAGGAGAGAAAAGAAAATCATGCTCCCCCGGACAGGCTCGAACTGTCAACCTCCTGATGTATTTATTGCTTGTAACAGTCAGACGCGCTAGCCATTGCGCCACAGGGGATAGGAGTTTGTGTTGACGATTGGTTTCTAACTTCATCTTGTATCTTTGTTGCGCTTTGGATAAGTATGTTTGCTTCAGGCGAGGGCAACCACTCCAGTAGGTACCTCAGTTATGGCTGTTCTTTGAAGTGCGGCTAGGCACGTCGCAAGGATGATACCAACCTCTTAAGGCGGCATCTCTCTTTACGATATAACAGACTGCTCAGCATACTAAAGACGGCCTTGCCACCGATTCAGCTTACAGCCCCTTATGCTACTAAAGTTTAACTTGCCATGATACCAGAGTCCTGATCTTGTCCTTACGCATAGTGGCAGTAGATTGCGATGAAATCATCGAGATGGTGTTATCTAGAAAGGGTCCCACGTGATCAGGCCTGGCCACAGAATTACAAGGAACCCATTGATCCTCTTTTCGGTATTCGGAGTCCTTCTTGGGATAACTTCATTCATTCAAACATGGTAGCCGGCTCCTTGACAGGCAGCACTGTTTGTTGGCACTCGCGGCCTGTCTCAACACGATGTTTAAATTTTCATCCAAAGCCACCTAGGTGGTATCGAGAAATTTAATTTGAGCCGCATTCCTTACTGGGAATAATCAATTCTTGACCGCTCGATATGATTGAGTCAGACATATATCACCACAGATAGATAACATAAATGCCAGTATGAGGGCAATTCTCCAATGGCACATTTCTTGGAAGACACTTTCTTGGGACATGTAAACCGTCAACTAGATTGGTGTCAAAAAGTGAGGCGAAGAGCTACCGCATTCCAATATGCATGAGGACCGTCAAATTTAGGAAAGATAGTTATTGAACGTTCATGTGGAAGTATCCAGACCCAATCTGCTGAGCCTGTACCTTTTTGAAAACGTCCACTTCTGGCCTACAGTCGACGGTCACCCTCGTTTTCGCTCACCTCTCTCAGGGACGCTATGCCCGTTTCCAGATACGGATCCCTATCTTAGTGACTAGGGGTCAGTTCTATTGCTAGAGAAGTATATCTTCCGACGTATGAAATGCACAATATCGGGGTTTCGCCCATCACCCCCCACTAGCAGTAAAGACCAGACCATCCACTTACATGACGGTCCCGTTGCTTGGGACCTGGCATTTTGGGAAATCGACGGAGGGTAAAATTTTAGCAGGAAACGACTGTGTGCTTTACTCAAGGTCGTTCCTCGAAGACTGTACCGCTTTGACGATTGTTAGACGAACAAAGTCTTGTGTTCGTGAAGGGTAGCGGTTGCGCCATGATTAGGTAACCACGCAATCACATGAGCCAATGCCGACGACCTCACATCCAGAATACTTAATACACCAATCCTGAGCTGGAGAGGATGAACCCCATCCAGATGAGGGATGGGACACCGGCATGTTTATACATCATCTCTGGCCGACAAGACGAATTGTGTGCCGTAAGGCATGGCGACCATCATGATGGGACATCAGTCCATTATTGAGGAGCTTGTGCAAGCCATTAGTTGCGTGAACAGATTGGAGAGCCCATCTTTTGATGATACAGCAGAGAGCGCACAAGATATGTTTTAGGTGTGTGAAAACAGCAGGTACCGCACACGGTGACTTAAGCCACTCGCGGAGCCTTCATCAGTTGTGCATTAATTGGGGTATGAACTTTTCCCAGAGAACATGGAAAAACCCTATGAAACTTCGTACTTGTGGCCCAAGATTACATGAGGTGTCTACGACAAGAAGCCTGTCGAAAATCACGGCTCTTACTAGAGGATGAGGTGACTGTGTCTTTCAACAGTGGCCAATGTATTGGTGGCAGCACTGCTTACGAGAATAAGACGATTGACCTCGAGACCCTAAGATTTAATGCCTAACAGACTTCTGCGGCCGTCCTGGGGGAGCGTGCAGACAACCTGCCTTGCAAAAAGCGATGCTGATACTTACCATTTCATTCGTCAACATTGACACCCGTATCAGCACCTCTACTTTGAATGAAAGGATCGTCTGCTTGCCTCTAGCCTGGGATGCAGTTCGATAATAGGCTGGCATTATCTAACAGCCAGTCGGCATACATCGCAAAATTGTGACGCCAGAAAAACTCAGGATTTGCCAGCCTTTATTCATACGATCGACCGGAGGTACTCAGCCACGGCTGTCGAGTTTTGACGGTGCTCGTGGCGCCCGTTTCAAACACGATAGACGAGACTCTGCTTTGATGGCCAGGCAAAGCGAGTACAGCGATAATTGCCTACCGCTACACAGCCTCCCAAATCGATGTGACCGATGACCTTTTCCGCTTGAGAAGGCTATGACGTTTTCGCCGCTTGCACAAAGGGACAGTACCTACGATGCTGTGGTCAACGATATCGCAGGACAGAGATCGTATCTCCGTCAAGGAATACCATTGGTCTAGACAGCGTCGGGTATCGTGATACAGTACTTATAATTATCTAGTAGTATATCCCCCAATGCATCCTGATGTACCATCGTCACTACCAGAACGAGACTCGGATGCATGGGGCCCCTCATCGCCGATGATCTGGCTCCCCTATGCGGCAGACAATTCTCCACACGCAGCGCGTCGTGAGAAGAAGCTTCTCACTACAGAACCCGCATGTCGTGGCGTGACCGTGGTTGGGGCTCCACTGCCGTATGCATGTGCTTTGTGTGTGCAGGTGATTTTTGGCAGTATCTACGGGCAAGCTTTCAACATCCTAGGATTGAAACCGGTAAGCCGCGCGGCAAAGTTTCTCGATGTACTGGCATTCGCGGCTTGGCTATGCTACTAATGCGATGCATGTCGACAGAGCTCGACTTTCCAGGGTAGAACGGAATGGTCGTGATGGACAATCTCTGCTGCCGACGTGCTTCTCGATCAAGAAGCGGGACATGGTGAGGCTGTAAGTCCGTTTTCGCCTGCCAACCCCGCCGTGCATTCGCATGTTGATTGGCGGTGGGCGGATGGTCATTGAACCTTGATATGTGAAGATGACAACTGATGGACCTTCCGACGTTGGGATGCCGTTATCGTGCTGCTGTGATATGGAGACCCGACATGACTCACGTATATCCGTGAGCTTGAGATGTACTTAGTTTGAATTAGAATAGGGGGCCAAAACTACCAAAAGCCGTCCCATAGATAGCATGAGTAGCGCTGCGAAGATCTTGGCCCTGAACTGAACATATGGGCAAAAACTAGTTAAAAGGTACTGGACTTAGACTTGGAGCCTGTTTTTCCGACTGCGCCTCTCATATTTATGCCTCTGTTATGCAACCCTGGGAGGAGTTGAGCGATGCCTAGGTCTTGTGATTTCTGGAATGTTTTTATTTTAGAAAGGCTAACTAAGCGGTAAAGAACGCGGCAAGCTACCCGCAACTTAAATGGAGAGAAGGTTTCCGGGAGAACGGCTAGCCTGCATCAACAAAAGGCCTACATACATACATAGTCCTATTAGTACTGTAGGCAACTGTAGAAGGCAGCCACACGTGTTAGTGTTAGCATGGCCCAAGCCAAGCCAGCCTCACCATTGCTTGGTTTCTTATCGCAAAGGTTAACAAGTCTACGAGATCCATCAACTCCTGCACCATCATCGTTGCCAACTGCCGGAATTCCATGGTGCGTACCACTACCAGCATGCATGCAATATATACCATTCACATCGCCGTCGCGTCCGTCATCAATATGGATCTCACAGCCGCTCAAATGCCGACAGGGAAAACTGGTTGGCCTTACCATATGCTGCCTAGTAGCTATGCGATGGTGGTGTGGAGCGGGCATGGTGGTATTGCTGGTTCTTTGCTGGTCACCATGGCCGTCGGGGTTTTACCATCACTGGTCAGACAGACATTGGAAAGTAAGTGTTGTCTGTTTCCTGGCAGGCCTGGCGACGAGCATATGTGCCGGCAATTCACTGTTCGACCAAGTTGCGTCCTGGGCCACATCTCGCGTGCCTTTGTTTACATCTGCGAAACTGCAAAAGCCAGAGCAACAAGTCGCGTTGAAAGACCATCTCTTGGCAATGTCTCAGGATGTCTTGTTGCAATTTTCAGACATTGTAGATTGAAGAAAACGCCTGATGGCAAACCCTGCGCTGGGCTGCCCGTTTGGGATAATCTGGGGAAAGCAGGAACGCACATGGGGAAGCTCACCGACATCTCACAGATGATCCGAGCACAATGTTGCAGAGTGACTGGCAGGCCGGGATATCAAAGTGAGAGTCAGGCTTGTGGTGTCTCCCACACATGGATCGGCACTGCAAGTTAGATTTGCTGCTCACTCACTGGCCGTAGGAATGCTGCATGACTTCTTGCTGACTCCGCCCAACTCCACACGGTGTTGTCGCTCGCCCTGGAATTGGCTCTACGAAGCCTTGTCCCAGCAGTGTCCCAGCCTACCTAAGACTAGGTAGTCGGCAGGCCAGTCACAGGACGAGTGTACAGACGCACAGTGAGATTGGCAGCCGGGGATATCTGCAACCATGACAGCGCCAATGGCGGAGTTTTCGATCGTCGAGGCATTGAGGGGTCATTGAAGCTTGATCCGAGGGACAGACTGCCCCGCGCTGCTGCCTCGTGAATGATTGCCCTTTCGAGTAGTCCGAGATTCGCTGTTGGTGTTTTGATGGGCAGCAGAAACACAGTCATCCCCTCCCCGAAAACGAAAAGAGGCAAGAGAGGCCCCGGGATTCACGAGGTCGTAGCTGGGGGGCCGATGCGCTACTGCAGGCAACCGGCAATTGGTATCTTAGAATGACCTAATGAGGATCGGTGTTGGAAGTGGTGTCGTCGCTGACGGTTGAACTCGAAGGCGTCCTGCTTGCCTTACGTAGTACACCACTACGTTCAGAAGTATCTATCTAGCTGCAGTATTGCTGACGTTTTCTTATGGAGGAAGCGGGTTATTCGCCATATCTCTCGTGGTGAACATCAACAGGTGGGCGGGCTTCCATGTAGGTAGCAGAAATGGCTACATGTGATGATGGATCCTTAGTAGGTGCAAGCGCACACTGGTAGCCATGTGCATCCCAAT